GCAAAGTCAGCACCCTGAAAGCAGTACAGTCTAACACGTTATGACACCGCCGTTTTCGTCTGTAGACCCTCTTCTTTGCAAACATAATTGGGAGCGTATGGGAGGGGCTCTGACTCGCGGGCATTGGTGGCCGATGATACGTAGCAATCATGGGAACCAGCAACTACCCATAGGCCCCAAAGTAGTTCCTTTTTGTTGTGTATATTTTAGGATCCTATAAGGCAACCCCCAAAGGGAACCACTATGGAGACTATGGGTAAGGACAGAAGCACTTCAATTGGGGTCAGAGGTACTGAGGTCTAGTTACCTTGTTTGCAGGACTAGTTACTAAGTCCCATTAGCCCCTGAGCAGCCAAGCATCATGATCATGATGCCCCTGCTCCGGCCACCCTGATGATCGTGACAACGTCCATCTCCTCACCACTAAAGCCCCAAACCCTAAGCCCTGAACCCTACGACTAGTAGCGCTGTGGTCATCATTACCCCCAAACCCTATTCTGATTATTAAGGCCCCTATATTAAACCCTTATCAATACCCCGTATATAATAACCCTTTTCAAGGAATCTTAAAGGAACCCTATTCTAATTATCAATTAAGGCCCCTATATTCGACCCTAACCACGAGGCCCCAAAATCTGCTGAATCTCAGAGCCCCGGAACCTGGTCGAAGATCAGAGATTGCCTCCGCACCCGCCAGCTGCTCCGAAAAAGGCGTGCGACCGCATCCTTGTTTAGGGCTTGGGCTGTAGAGCCTCTGGACCCTAAACCCTGAACCCTAAATCTTGAGTTTACCCATAGGCTGCTTGGTAGTTCCTTGTTGGGATTACCTTTTAGGATGCTAAATATGAACCACAAGAAGGAACTACTTAGGAGCCTATGGGTAAGATGTTTGGGGGAGGGTTCCTGGGCTAAGCATCCTCGATGATGGACGGCACACGTTGCAGAGGTGCAAACTCTCCACGCTTCGACCTCGAAGGCCCACAGCCCGTACCTTGAGCCTCAGCTTGGACCCCCAGGTTAAGGCTTCTAAGGCTTACCTAGACCCCAAAGAACCTACTCTTTTTAAGGCCTTATATAAGGAAACCATAATAAGCAACCCTAAATTTTAAGGGCTTATATAAGGAAACCATAATAAGGAGCCCTACAAGGGAGGGTTCTTAAGGGTCCAGGTAGGGCCCAACACCATGAACCTCTCAGTTCCTCCCGATCCCGTCCATGATCCGAACCCCCAGCACTCTCCAGGGTAGCACCACAGACTTAGATAGCCAAAGGGAGAACTTTAAACTTTTTCGCCTTGTATATTAGCTCTATCCAACTCTTCTGGAGCCTTGTTGTTGAAGAAGAGAGCAGATCCCCCAGAACTTTCCTTAGACTTCTTCCAAAAGAAGGGAAGCGGTCGATGAAGGGGTAGCTACATACCCAAAATAACCCTAGGCCCAGGCCCTCAACTTAAATCCTTTAAGGAACCCTAATGTAGGAAGCTGATTAAGCAACCCTGGCCCGAGAACCCCAACCTTTTAGGATTCATATTAAGAACCGTTATAAAGACCTCGGGTTTCTTAATCAGGTTCCTACATTAACCCCTGAACCTGGAACCTTAAACTTAAACCTTTCTTAACGGTTCATGCCAGGACACCGATCACTTGCGGACAGACATCTTCAAGATGTGGGCCGCCCCAAAAAATCGCCTCCGGTGTTTGCAGGGTTTTGGGATGTATGGAAGCTCATAGGGTTTAGGGAGTTTAGAGTGCTCAAAGTCCCCTAAACACCAACCCTACCTAATTTCGAGGACGGTAGTAAGGGTGCTATGAGATTTCGTCGAAGAGCTTCTGCAGGGATTCTATGGGAGGGTGTGGCGGGGGGTTTGACGGCTTGCATGCAGGCAGGATCAAAGCGGGTTTGGCAGGTGGGGTATAATTGAGTTTGTGCGTGTCCTAGTTACCCTTAAACCCTAAACCCGAAACCCCACCCCCTAAGCCCTAACCTAGTTGTGGTATCCCAAGTGCAGGTTTCAATCTGCCATCTACCCACTATCCGATATCCTTCAAGGGCAGCATTTTGGCCGTCTAAACTCGAAACTCTAAACCCGATAATCCTTAAGCCTAAACCCTAAACCCTAAGCCTAAACCGTCTAAACTCTAAGCCCTACCTGTAGCTGGCAAGACCTACCTTTTTTGGGGTTCCTTATTATGATTTCTTTATATAGGTCCTTAAAAAGGTGGGTCTTTTCGGTTGCAGGTAAAGGAGCCGTCAAAAAGAGGATAGGGTTTAAGGTTTATGGGGGCTTTGAATCATTGAAGTTGTGCGGTCTAGGTAGTAGTTGTTCGGGTTCCTGAGTATACTTATTACTAAAGAAGTTTAAGAAGCTTAGTATCAATATATCATACATCCCAAAACTCGAAACCCTATCTAACCGCTCCGGCCCTAGTATTGTCGTTTGACCGCGGTATGTCGCGTGGAGTTTCTGTGGTCCAGAAGCTAAACTCGTACTCCGCTTTGCTTTCTCAACTCTCAAGCTGAGGCTTCGATACCCTATAGAGGAGGGAGTTTAGGGTATATAGGGCTTCTACAAAGCTTCTATAAGGTATATAGACCTTGTATAAGGCTCCTAAGGCTTCGATACCCTACCCATAAACTCCATGGCAGTTCCTTTTTATTGGCTTGTATTTAGAATCCCATAAGGTGATCCCAAAAAGGAACTACTATGGAGCCTATGAGTAGACCCTAAACACTGCACTTTAAAAAAAATTCACTGAACCCTAAGTTGAGGGTTTAGGGTTCAGTAAGTTCCATTCCCTAAACCACTAAAGGCCCTAGACCCGACACCCCGAAGAACCCCACACCCCCTCAAGACCCTAAGCCCCATTCAACCCAAGGCTTAATTTCCTAGATCCCTTAACCCTTATAGATCCCTTTTCAGGAAACCGTTATAGATCCCCTTAAAGGAACCCTTAGAGATCCCTTAACCCCTGGGTCAATCCTGCACACCGGAGCTCTTGGATTTTGCTACAGGCAGACCAGCTTGGACATGGGTGTGAAGAAAAACAAGGACCCGCTACTGCTTATTAATGGTTTAGGGTTTAGGGTTTAGGGATTACGGTTTATTGTCTAGGGTTTAGGATGTAGGGGCCTGAATAATTAGAATAGGTTTTTGGGGTCCCTTCTAGAGTCTACGTGTAATAAGGAACCCCCAAGATGATGTAGGCAAAAATTGAGGCCCCGACATTATTCTGCATTATGACTATGGCTGCTTCATTGTTTGTGATGGGAGAACTCATGAGAGCTCCCTTGATTCGAAGGAACAGGCCTTACACACGGTTGGGGTTTAGGGTTGAGGGTTTAGGGGGATTACCTAGCGGCGTTTGTCTTGGCTCAAGACATAGTCAAGTGGTTAAGTGTCTTTTGTGGCTATATTTTGTCGGAATGTACTCCTTCCTCCCAACACTGTGGGAACTGGCGTCCCGTAGGAGGTTGGGTGGTTTAGGGATTTTGATGTCAAGCTTCATGATTAGGGCTTTGGATACTGCAATCTGGAGTTGAGGCTTGGGATTTCACTATGAGAGTCGGAATAATGACGAGAAGTGGGATCACTACAAATACTAGATCCCCGTATAGTCCCTATGTTATACAAAATCTAATACTAACATGAACCCCAAGCCCTTTTTCTAGTCGAGCCCATGTTGATGGATACCCCAACACCCCTAAACCCTATGATACCCTAGAGTACCCTGTAGATCCCTGTAAAGGGAAGTTTTATAGATCCCTCTAAAGCCCAATACCCTCATGTTTGAACTCTTCTTGGCCCCGAGAAACCCCTCTCCACACCTTTACACCGGGGAATTCGGATGTCGTAAGCTGTGTACGCCTGGGTTGTTGAGTAAAGAACCATTCTGGTGTTCGTTGTCTCTCCCTCTTGTCAATGTGGCGTTAAGGGTCTTCGGCTCGTTAGATAGCATCGGGGTCTGAATGGGCGGTCCTGGCAACCCCCTTCTAGGTCCCTGCGCAGCTAAACTAGACCATTAGCAGCCCTAAACCCAAAACCCTACACCCTAAACCCTACACCCTCAACCCTAAACCCTACACCCTCAATTCTAAACCGTAAACCCTACACCCTAAATCCTAAACCCTAAAGACTATTCGCAGCCTTATCGGTCCCGTGACAGACCACTACCCGACGCTGCCCTTCTCGCAAGGACCACCTCGATTTCGAAGTGAAGCGGCTGGAGCCGCTTGGCCGACAGTGGGTGGTTTAGGGCTTGGGTTTAAGGGTTTAGGGTTTAGGGTTTAGGGCTTGGGTTTAAGGACTTCGCTTGCAGGGTTTGTGGGCTTATGGAGCTACCTCTAGATACTAACTACCCTAAACCCTTGACCGTTAAACCCTAAACCCTCAACAGAGACCCGTCTCAGACAGAGGCCCTTAGAAATCCCGTAAGTGGACCAGCCAACTCCAGGGAAAGGAGGGCAAAGGGTCGCCTCGGGAGAGGGCCAAAATTGAAGCCATTGTGAGTCTTCTGGGTTCTTGTGAAGGGATGCAATTAAAGCTACCATAATGGGGATCTACAGAATCTATGGTAAATAATACGGTTTCCTTATTATGGTGCGTTAAATTTAAATCCGTTACAAAGAGCCTAGTCTTTACAGGGCCACGTTTCGAGTCATTGGTTATCATGGAATCATAATATCTTATATTAAATTTGTTGAGGAACGAACTGCCCTCACCTCTTCCGAAGTCTTGACCGTTTGAAGCGACTTGCGGGAGCCCTTGAGGTTCTTCAAGCTAGAGAGTGCAAGGCCCCTATGCTAGAGGACTGTCAAGTCAAGATCCGGGCCAAAGGCCCAAACATCAACATTTGGCATAGAAGGGTGTAGCCTCTCGGAAAACTTTCAGAGCTTTGTTGAGCGAAGAAAACCAGTACGTTCGAGAGCCATGGTCCGTTTCTGTGGTCGGGATTCCTCTTCGGGAATCATCCGATAAAATCTGGAGCGAGGCTTGAGCTGACATGGAAGGCATGAATCCGAATGCGCACGATCTTCCAGATCATCAGGTTATGAGCACCCAAGGTTACGGGACGCTGCCGAACTCTGCATTGGTCAATGGGATAACGCCTCTTCAGCAGCTTGATTTGGATGGAGAGATTAGGCAACCGCAACAGTCTGCTACGATGGAAAACCCTGCTTTGGTGGCGGGGCAAGCCCAAGCTGGCAATGTCGCGGGAGGAGTGAAGGCTTCGACGCCGCCACCTCCACCATCTGGTCAGGCGATGGGATATGGGTCAACTGGAGCTTCGGTGGCTTCAATGAGCCATGATTCCCAGGCTGGAGGGCGAGGTGACACAAGCGAGCGCCTTGGCGGCGCCCGCTGTGCCACTTCCCGTAATGAGGACTGACGTGGCTGGAGCAGTTTCTTTAGGAACCACAGCGGTGGATGGACTTCAAGGCCAGCGAGAGCAGAGCAATGTCTTGGCAGGCCAAGGAGTTCTTGAAGCTCAAACTTTGATACCGCGGGCTCCTCAATCGATCGAGGTGCAACCGCAGTTTGGAGCACAGCCGAACCTGGAAGGAGGACCGAAAGCACCTCCCTCAATGCGAGTCGAAATTGGGGGTCAAGGCTTCGTGGCTCAGGGAGTTCAGTGGATGCTACGGAGGTTTGCGGACATAGGAGGGCAAGAAGTTTTGGTGACTCAGCCCTCTTCGCAGACCACTCAAACTGAGTATCAGACCCCTGTGACCCCGAAGTCGCTTTTTTCTCCTGAGCAGATGCGTAGGTTTGCCCAGCTCGAAGAGCAAGCGCCTCAGCTGTACACCCATGTAGCCGGACAGGTAGGGCAAGTAGCTTCTCCGCCTTCCTCGGCATCTCTTAGCATGGAAGCTATTCAGGCTGAAGTTCGTAGGCAGGTTGAGCGGGAACTTGAGGGTAGGAATCAAAGGCTTAGAGAGCTGGAGGAAGAAAATCGTAGACTTAGAGAGGAAAATGTAGAGAGTGTTGCCTATGCAGTTCCTCCTAAGGTCAAGGCGAAAGGGTTTGGTGGGTTTTTAGGAGGTTTGTTTCCGGGCTCAGGCGGCTTCTGGGCGAACTCCAGGGGCTCTCCAGCTCCTCCACCTCCGCCACCATCTCATTCTCAATCGCCTCCTCCACTTCCTCCGCTTCCCACTTCTCAGGGCGCGGGCTACGGCTCTGTGGCCAACAGCCTTCCGCTCGCCAATGCCAGACCCCTTAGCGGTTACCCTAGTGGTTTAGGCCCGACAAACCCTAGTGGGTGGCAAGGATCAGTGCACTTTCAGCCGGCAGAACATCAGACCCTTAGTGGTTACCCTAGCGGTTTAGTCCCGGTTGTCCCTAGCACTTCGCACTCGACATCTGCGCCTCCGATACTGAACCCTAACCTTAGTGGGTACCCTAGCGGTTTAGTCCCGGGTGTCCCTAGTGGGTTTCCGCCTTCGGCGCATGAACATTCCGCACAGAACCCGAACCCTAGTGGGTACCCTAGCGGTTTAGGCCCTTGGGGTGTCCCTAGTGGGTTTCCGGCTCCGGAGAGGGAGCAAGCTGCACAGGCCCAGGGTCCCAGCGGTTACCCTAGTGGTTTAGTCCCTCCTAGTGACCCGAGTGGCTGGCCGCAGCCTGCTATGCAACAGGAGGTAGGGAATAGGAATCAGAGTGCAGTTCTACCAGCAGCCCCGATTGCACCAAGCCCAGCAAATCTGCCTGTCGAAAGGACGGGTGAAGGAGCCGAGAGCTTAGGGAGTAATTCCTTAGAGCTGTTGATTGCCGGGATGCGTCAATTGCAGGAGGTGTCCATGAGGGCGTCTGAGAGTCCAAAGAGTGAGAATGTGAAACCAGGGATAACAAGTTTACCCACTCTTGTTGAGCCTGGGCCTGAAGCTCCGGTTGATTTTCAAGATTGGGTTTACACGGTTAGTCCAGCTATGCAAGATTTATCCGAAAATAGTGCTGAGTGGTGGGAAAACATTCTTCTATCAGCAGAAAGCTACTACTCTGAGCACCTCAAGCTTGATCCGGTAGCGCGTTTGAGCCACAAGCCCCAACCAAATGAAGTGCTGAGGCAGGCGAGGTGGAGACGAGTAGAGAAGCGTGCTGAAACTTTAGTGCTAGCAGGGCTTCCTAAAACCGTGCGGGAAGAATGCGTAGCAGGGAGATTGACAGGGTTTCTTGCGATATGGTGTCGGGTAATGGTGATTTATCAGCCCGGGTCGCTCCTTGAAAGAGCTACAGCCTTGAAGTGCCTTGAGTCCCCCGGTGAGGCTGCTGATGCGGTTTCGGCTGCAAAGGCCCTTCGGAAATGGCATAGGTGGCTTCTCAGGGTGAGGAGTGTAGGCGGAACGCCTCCAGATCCAACGATCTTGATAAGAGCCTTGACCGCCATGTGCAAGAAGCCTCTTGAGCTACACACCGAAGCCGCTTTCAGAGTTCAGCTTGCTCGGTCAACATTGCGCGTGGACATAAATCCATCTTCAGCAAAGGTAGATGAGCTTTATGGCTTGTTGCTAGCAGAAATGGAAAATTTGTCTCATAGTCCAGCAGCACCCAAGAGCGCTAAGACCGCCACTCTTGCACAAACCAACGTGAACCCCACAACAACTCCGACACCTCCCCCGCCTAAGCCGAATCAGACACCCCAGGCCAAGGCGAAGGCAGATACTCCGTGTCGCAATTTCCTTACGGATGCAGGATGCTCCAGAGGAGCCAAGTGCGGGTTCAGCCACGACACGTCATCGCTGACCCGAGCACAACGAGGCCAGCGATGCTTCAATTGCGGTTCAACGGGCCATCGAGTCTCGGAGTGCACTGCCCCGAAACCTGACGGTGCCCAAGGTTCTAAAGGTGAGGCTAAGGGAGGGGGTAAAGGAGGCAAAGGAGGTCATCAGGATAATCCAAAGGCGAAGGCTTCATCCGAAAAGCCAGGTGAGAGCGTCGAAGGTGCAAAATCCTCAGCACCAGCTCCGAAAGCTGGTGGGGCCTCGCAGGCCTCAGCTGTTTCATCCTCCACTGCAGCCCCGACCGACTCCTCCAAGCTCAAAGCCATGATTGCTGAGGCTCATCAAATGTTGCAAGACCTCAAAGCAACCTCTAGTGGACAAGAGAGTAGGAGTAGTGTCGAGCTGCCAAAGATGGCGATGATGTGGTCTGATCTTCCGGACATTCCTCAGTTGCCTCAATTGAACTTTGTGCCAGAAAAGGACGCTTTGCTAGACTCGGGCGCATCCCATGCGCTCAGAAAGCCAAAGGATCAAGAGGAAGCTGCCAATGCCGAACGTATCGAAGTGATTCTTGCAGGAGATGAAAGAAGGAGTCTTCGGCAGAACGCCGGAGGAACGATACTCAGCGATGCGCCAAGCGCGCAAACAATCCTTCCGCTAGGAGCTCTCGTAAGGGAGCTCGGGTGCTCCGTAAAATGGTCCCGCAAAGGTCTCACTCTGAGACATCCGGCGTACGGCGTGCTTCGCACGCAGATCCGAGGGGGATGTCCTCAGCTAGCTGAAACGGAGGCATTAAGACTCATCAGTGACCTAGAACAGAAACGATTGGAGCGTTTTGAAGGTCAGCTGTGTGAATTGCAGGCTAAGATTGAAGCGGTCGAGGGTTCATCCTGGGAGGAACCAGTGTGCAAATACCTCACTCAAGGGGATCGCAAGGAGTTGATGGTTGCAGTGAGCCGTCTTGAAATTCCAGATGATTCCGTGACTCAGGCCATGTACTCAAGAGTGAGAGATTTGAGCAAGGGTAAAGAGTGGGAGTACCTAAAGGAGCTTGGGTTTTCCCGGGCGAAGCGGCGGCGCTTGATGAAATCCAACAGGTGGATGGTCCACCCTGATGACAAAGGAGAAGCCTTTACTGCCTTAGGGGAGTTAGGGGAATCCTTCAAGGTCCAAGCCAGAACCTTCAATGAATATCAGACGCATGCTGCCTCAGGTTTGCTGTTGTGGGCTGCCTCTCAAGGCAAACTAGGATGTGTCACGATGCATGTTGATTCACAGGAGGACATGGCGCTTTGTGTGTTGCTATGGATCCTAAATTCCTTTGCCACTGGTGCAAGTATGCCCATGTCTCTCATGACATCGCCAGAGCTAGGAAGCCAGTGGCAATCGATGATTGCGGGCCTTGCACTCCGCGTCATTACTCTTGATGGAAGGATAGCTGTGTCGACCATTCCTCTGCCTGAGCTGGAGTTCACGCAATCCAGGGCTGGGTTTGCCAGGGAGGTCCTTAGGTCCATCAGGCGGGTGTACGGAAAATCAGACCCGGGGCCGAGCACTGCGCAGTGGACCGAGCAGCTTGATCGTGAATTAGCCCACAACATGACTTTTCATCCTGAGATCAACGTGGCGGACGACGGTGTGCTGAGCTGTTCGGATCACTGTGCTTCGTCTGTTAGTACCCGTAAGGCAAAGTACCCTAAACGACGCCGCATTGCAACATCCCAACAGGTGATGAATGGTGAGTCCAGGTCAGGTGGCACAACTGGGACCCCAGTTCTTGCAGCAGTTGACGCCGCCAAACTGGAAGAGTGGAGGCTGCACTTGGCAGCAGGGCATCAGCCGTACAGGAAGGACTGTGCCACGTGTGTGGCATCCGCAGCGATAGGTCACGCGCATCGGCGCGTTGCTCACAAGACGCCATGCTCCCTCAGTCTAGACATTGCCGGGCCTTTCAAGAAAGGAGGGAAGTCGGTAGATGGTGGCCTCACGTATTTCGAAAGGGATGTAAAGTATGTTCTAGTGGCATCCTACCGGGCACCCTTGACGTTCTTTAGACCTTCTGAAAAACCCACGTCTGAAGACACTAAGCTTCCAGATGAGGAATTTGAGAGTTTAGGGGTAGAGGATCAAGCTGTGTTCGAGGAAGAGGCAGAGGAGCCACGTCTCGATGGTGAGGAAGAAAAGGATGAGGAGGGGTTCCTCTTGTCGGATGAAGAACCTGTCAAAGCCGAGATGCGCAAAATAGTGGGTCCCTTTGATGAGGTGGTAGCGCGAGCTCCGAGGTATATGCCTCCTCGAAGGAGGTTTGCGCGCCTTGATTCTCAGGAATCCCAGAGATGGTACGATCCAGATGCGGCGACGGCGTTGCAGTTTCCGTTAGGTTATCCCCCGCCACTCCAGGACAGATGGGAGGACTTGGTAATCCCTTCTTTTGATGAGGATTGTTTGGTCGAGCATTTCATACCCATAGCCTTGTATATGAACAGAAACCAGGATTGGGATGAAGATTCGGATGTGGTGTTTGTTGACCAGGATGGAGAACTGGAGCCGACTGTCGTGGCTAGAGTTCTAAGGTATGAGGGCCATGTGAGTCCGGCACGAAATGAGTTCTGGTACTTCCGGGTTTATAATTTACTTGAGGACAAGGAAGAGACGTACTTCATTCTTGAAGAGTTTAGTACCAGGGCAGATACCGCGAACTTTCCACCACGACCGCCAAACTTGGTGCCACCTCCAAGCCCGTTTGATGGATATGAGGCACCACCTCGTTTGGCAATGATGCAAGAGGACGTCGACTATGGGGAGTACGTACTTTCAGAGTGTGAGGAACATGGACATTCCAACGCGAGCAAACCTCAAGATCAGGAATCGATGGCCTCATGGTTGGAAGCCGATCTTGAAAACCTAGCCTCAGTCTCGGAAGAGGTGCTGTCGAAAGAAGCGTTGAAGGCCAAGGTTGAAGAATTGAGTAAGCCTGTCCCGCAGGGCTCAGTGATTTTAGCCAAAGCCCTCGTGTCACGCAAAGGATCCGAGGTTTTGATGGCACTTCAAGAGATTGTTGTTCAGTTGGAGCAATATGGTTTGTTTGTGTCCAAGGTGCACACAGACAGAGCGCGAGAGTTCCTCTCGTACAAGCGGGTGCGTTCTTGGCTTGCCTCAAAAGGAATAGCCAGGTCTTTCACTTCCGGCATTGAACCAGCTGCAAATGGCTCGGGAGAAAGTGCGGTTAAGTGGGTGAAGCGCCGAGTACGGCAGCTCCTCATAAGTAGTAAGGCTCCTGCCAGCCAGTGGCCTGCTGCAATGCAATGGGCGGTCACCAAGCAAATCCGCGAGAAACTCCCTGTAGGTGATCCCAACATTCCCCCATTCCATGCTAAAGTGTGTTTTAGGTCCAAAAGGTATGGCTTGCAAAAGAAGGGTCAGGACTTTGAGCCAAGGTGGGAAGAAGGATTGTATGCGTGTCCTTCAGGCACGGTGTCTGAAGGCCACGTCATCATAAAGTCTACGGGTGAGTATACTACGTGCAAAGGGATCAAGCTTGGTGTGGAGCGCCTTGAAGAACATGTTCCTCTACCTGTAGTTGAGGGAACGATTGACATGCCTGCAAAACGGCTTCGAGAAAAAACGCGGTTGGCATCGCTGGAAACCGAAAGGGCAGTGCAAGAATCGGAAGTCTTGGCCGGGGAGCTGCATAGGCTACAGGATTTCAGTCGTGAAAAGTGTCAACTGCTTTTACGAGCTAGCGGCATTGAGAAATCGAACAAGCCGGGCGTGAGAGGAGCGCCCGAAAGCATGATCCTAGGAGGCTACGTGCAGGGTGGCTTCAAGGGTGCTACTAAGGAGACGTTGAGGAGACCGAACTTGACCAAGTTCTTGAATGAGTTCCTAAGGGGTCATCTTGAGCAGCAAGGAGTCAGAGACGCTTCATGGGCGTCCCTTGCCGTATACCATAATCCCTCAGTAGGACTGCACAGGGATATGCGCAATGAGCCTCAGTCGCAAAACTTTGTCATGCAGCTTACAGACCGATTGGAGGGAGGATTATGGATATCGGACAGCACTCTAGGAGAGCCTGTGGATATGTTGCTTCCCACGGGACACGAGCAAGAAGGTTCAAAGGTTTCCATTGATGGACAGGCGGTCGGTTTCGATCCTCGGAAGTGGCATTGTTTGGTGCCGGCGGTTCAACATGTGTGGGTTATCGCAGGTTACACGCCTCGAGGTGTACTAGGACTCCCTGAACAAACCCGAAAGGATCTTCAGAATCTTGGGTTTAAGTTTCCTAGTTGCAAAACCCTAACGCTTACCGCAGAGCTTAGAGATCAATCAAATACAGTTGAAGTGGACAAGCCCGCAATGAGTGACAAGGATCCTTGTGAAGCGGCATACGCTCCAAGGAGTCAACCTTCGGTTGCCTATCAATTGCGGTGTCCGTCTACTGCCAACGTGATTTCGCCTCAGGTAGCAGCCTTAAGCTCAAATGTTGGCAATCTTGATTCGAAACCTCTGCCCAGAGATTTCATCCTCTTAGCAGACCGCTTGGAGCGGATATGCTTGGCGAGGAGGGGTGAAGGTACGGCTGAGAAGGTCCAGGTGTGGGCGCTGAAAAAGGGGGTAAAGGGTCCGAGGAGGGGAATTGATGTAAGGGGAGTAGCCGGTAGTGGTATAGATCCGCCGAAAGGGGACAAGATATCCACGGAAGCACACCCTGCGTTTAAGATAACCCAAAATCCCGGATTCGTGCCAGAGACAGGTTTAGCCGGTAGTGGTTTTGATCCGCCGAAAGGGGACGAGATATCCGCGAAAGCATGCTGTCCAACTAAGGGCACACTGCGCTCCATTGTTCAGCAGCATTGCCAGGACTTCGAAAGTTGGGTATCTTGGAAGGAGAAAGTTTCCGTCAACAATGGCCTGAGCACCTCAGAGTCAATGAACCCTGAAGGTGTGAAGCAGGTCAAGGAGAGCGAGGTACCGTGCATCAAGGCTATCAGACTTGGAGTCGGTAGCGTCCAAGCGCGGGGAAGTTCCGATCCAGGAGGGGACTTTCCTTCATCATCTCAGCAACGTGCTGAGGGTTCAGGTCGTCAACAGCCGTGGGCAAGTGCAAGGGGATCTAGAGCCAGTGAGAGCTTGAAACGCCCGTCAAAAGACCGACGAGAGAGGTCTTGGAAGTTAGTAGATCCGGTTCGTTCTGGTTACCCGCATCAGCCGAGACTAAATAAGACTTCTGCGAATGTCATCACACCAGGTGTTGAGGAGATACTTCAGAGTCTAGTCGAACCTCTGGGAGTAGTTTACACTGTAGATCCCAGAGAGGTAAGGGCCCAGCTGTCTCTTTGGAAGGCTGCAGCTCAGAAGGAACTGAACAGCCTACAATCCCTCGGAGCCATCATTCGTCACACTGGACGAGACGCACAGAGGTATCTTCAGCAAACCGGCGTGACTCCCATTCCTGCAAAAGTGGTGTGGACTGCAAAACCCCCGGATCCGGGTTCTGCCGCGCTTTACAAAAGAAAGGCGAGGATTGTGGCATGCGGCAATCACGAGCCGGAGTCGGGCGAAGAACTCTTCGCGGCAGGGTCTTCGGCAGAAGTTCTTAGAGCAGTGTTAGCTGAGGCAGCTAGCAAAGCATGGCCTGCTGCAGGGTCAGATATTTCCACGGCCTTTTTGAGGGCACCTATACCGCAAGGGCACTTCCATGCCCTAAAACCGCCGAACATATTACTCACCCTCGGACTTATTGAACAAAACGAGGTGTGGGAAGTACAGAGGGCCGTCTACGGCTACCGAGAAGCTCCACGATATTGGAGCGAGCACCGCAATGCCACCTTGACTGGTTTGAGGTTTCAAGATGAACAGGGTAATTGGATGGGTCTTAGACAAGGGTTGCTCGAGAGCAACCTGTGGACCATTCACAAAATGCGAGAGGGAGTTGAGCCTGAGTCCTCCTCCCCTGAGGACTTTGACCCTGAAATCCAAAGTTACCCCCTAGTCTATGTAGACGATCTTCTGTTTTTAAGTCCAGCAGGGCTGACAGAGCTCCTTCATCAGAAAATATCCTCCATCTGGGAATGCTCAAAGCTTAAGTTTGCCCACAACTGCGCCAACGAGGAGCCCCTGAGATTCCTAGGAGTAGAGATTAAAACCTGTGAGGGAGGATTCCTGCTCACGCAGGAAGCGTATATCTCCGAACTTCTTAGAGCGCATGAGGTTCACCCCAACAAAAGGTCCAAAGTGCCGGCCCCTAAAGAATGGTTTCAAGTCGACGACGAGGAAGCGGAGGCTAGTCCTCCACCAGACGTTGCAACTGTTAGAGCCGCTCAGCGGCATGTTGGAGAACTTCTGTGGCTTGCCCAGCGAGCCAGACCAGATATCCAATATACAGTTGCGATAGCTTCCAGCCTGACGCTTCGGAAGCCTGAAAAGGTGATTTCGATTAGTCAAAGGACGTTGGCATACCTTCAAGAAACATTCCACTGCGCTCTCAAGGTAGTTCCGGAGTCAAGCGATCCACCAGAACTGTGTGCGTGGTCGGACGCATCGTATGCGCCGACGGGTTCAAAGAGTCACAGCTGCTCAGCTGTGTTTTACAGGGGAGTGCCAGTGAGCTGGAGGAGCTCGCGGCAGGGATTCATCACCCTGTCAACCGCCGAGTCCGAATTAGTAGCAGCCTCGGAAGCAGCACTAATGAACGACTCGGTTCTGGCCTTGGTGAAAGATGTGTACAAAGGGCTAATCATCCAAAAGTTAAAGATTGACAACGCTGCAGCGGTGAGTATCAGCTCCGAAGGGGTTGGTTCGTGGCGTACAAGACATCTTAAAATTAGGCATGGATGGCTCCGCGAAAAATTCACCAGTGGCACTCTTCAGATATCCTTTGTACCAGGAAGGGAACAAAGGGCTGACATAGGCACTAAGGCACTGAGCGCTGATAGACTCAGAGAACTGATGCTGCTTTGGGGTTTTGTCTGGCCCGATTCGGTAGAAAAAACCATAGATGTAGCAAGTGATCAAGCCTGGTTGACGCGATTCATAGTTTTAGCCACCATAGCTTTGAAACTGGAGCAAGCCCAAGGAGCGAAGTTCTTGGACGAAGACTCCCAGTGTCCGAAGGGAGGAGAAGTAGATTTCTACAAGGCCCCTTTAGAGGTTGAAAATCCCCTGAGCATATATGTGGTTATAGGCTGTGGTGTCTTTGGGGTGTTGGTTGTCTGGGAGATAGGTAAGTTTCTTGTTAAGTGGGTTGTGAGAAAGGTGGCAAAATGTGCAAAGGCCAGCAGGCTACGCCGAGAAGTGCAAAACCAACTCAGACTTCAGCTGCAGCAAAAGCAAGAAACCCTGAAACCCCCTAACACAAGCCCTAATCCTCCGCACCTTAACTGTGAGTTCGTTGATCCACCGGAGTTGCCTCCAACCACCGCGCAGGTTTCTGTTCCTGCGCCACCTGCACCACCCTTGCCACCAAATCCTGTTCATACCTTCGCGTGCGTGCATTCCTCTTCTTCCACGTCGCCACCTCCGCCTCCTCCCAGACCGCCGAGGGTGGGTACTAGGAGTAGGGTTGAAGAGATTGTAAGCGAGGAACTGCAAAGGCAGGTAGAGAGGTGGCTTCCGCGTAGGCAAGACAGCTCCACGCAAACGGACAGAGAGCGGGTCTTTTGTCTGACAGGACATGAGACCATGTACAGCACTAGGAAGGGTGGAAGCTACCATTTCTTCAGAGATTGCGCAGCCATTCGGAACTCCGGGGTTGATTCAAGGAAGTTTTGCACTTTCTGTTTTAACAAGAGGTTCGGGACCGGATGACTTGGCACAGTCTGTTTTTCCAGAGAGATGGCATTCGCCTAGCGGCGATGCCAAGGAGGGGTGTTGAGGAACGAACTGCCCTCACCTCTTCCGAAGTCTTGACCGTTTGAAGCGACTTGCGGGAGCCCTTGAGGTTCTTCAAGCTAGAGAGTGCAAGGCCCCTATGCTAGAGGACTATCAAGTCAAGATCCGGGCCAAAGGCCCAAACATCAACATTTGGCATAGAAGGGTGTAGCCTCTCGGAAAACTTTCAGAGCTTTGTTGAGCGAAGAAAACCAGTACGTTCGAGAGCCATGGTCCGTTTCTGTGGTCGGGATTCCTCTTCGGGAATCATCCGATAAAATCTGGAGCGAGGCTTGAGCTGACATGGAAGGCATGAATCCGAATGCGCACGATCTTCCAGATCATCAAAATTATACTATGTGCTGAGGCATTCATTGACAACATCTTCCTCCCGCTGGATTTCATTCATAGGGAGTTTTTAGAGCGGGGGTATGAGGTCTGCGTACCCATAAGAAGGACCTGAAGTATGGTCCCCTACCCCTTTCCCCTTACTCCTCTAAGGGTGCCGATGATTCATGGCGAGCTGTGCAAATCCTTTTTATCGGCCATGGTGGCCCTGGTGCTGTGGGCTAACGAAGCCTAACGACGAAACCCTAAACCCCCTTTAAACCCTTTAAACCCCCTTAAACCCCTAAACTCCTACAACCCCTCAAAGCCCTATAACCCCTACACCCCGATAACCCCTATAACCCCTAAACCCTTGTAACCCCTAAAACCCCTATAACCCCTAAACCCCTATAACCCGTGTAATAACACGTCCCAACCTTCGTGTGTCAGTGAAGGCCGGCAGCGCTTTGGCACACCCATGATGTCTTGCACACGGAGAGTGAAACATGGGTCTAAACCTGAAAACATTAATCCCCTAAGACTCCAAGTATACAAATGGTACCCACTTTGGGGTCTAAAGTCTGTAAGTAGTACCTACTTTGGGCTATTTGGAGTGTTAGGGATCCTGGGTAAACCTTAGACAAACCGCAAACCCAAGCCGTACCCTTATAGTAACCACTTCCAGTACCCCCCCATACCAACCCTTAGTCTAGAAGATTCTAGAACCTGTTTAAGGCACCCATGCAGTACCCGTTGAGCAATCTCTTCTTGTAACCTCTTTCTTGAACCTCACTTTAGAGGAACCTTTAGGGTATTCTCAAAGGAGCACATTGTTATACACCTTAACAGTTCAACCGTAGTGCTTACAGGAATGAAGCTTAGCAGCACCTTTCATTGAAGCAAACCCTAGAGGAGACTTTAAAAAAGCTTTGAAGGAACTCGCTAGAGGCCCCCCTTTGCAGAAACCTTACTCTAGATCCCTTCAAGGAACCCTCTAGGGTTTAGGGCTTAGGGGTTTAAGGTTTAGAGTTTAGGGTTTTTCAGATCCGTACTAAACCCTAAACCCTAGATCCCTTAGAGAAACCCTTGTTCGATGAATAAACCCTAAACCCTAGATCCCTTCGAGAAAGCCTTCTTCTATTAATTTACCTTCGAAGAAAGCCTGCTCTCTTCCTTGGCGTTGGGTCGCTCAGGTTGGGCATCGATCAGGTAAAGGACGCTGGAGTTCGGATCAGTGTTTCCGGGTCCCGCTGCGAGGTTCCCTAGGGGTTTAGGGATTAGGGATTCGGGTTTATAACCCCTCAACTGGGTACTTACGCTCCCCAGTAGTACCGTTTTGTCCTGTTTATTTGGGGGGTCTCCTTATTAACGCCGAATAGTAGGAAAAAGGGGTACCCTTGTCATTAAGGGGCTAGTGGGGAACCTAGCACTGAGGGTAGGGGGGTTTTAGAGGATTTCGGTTATGGCTGCAAGGACGTAGGGTTTAGGGTCTTACGGTTTCCCAAAACCCTGCACCCCTTAAGGGAGAGCTTTAAATTTTTTGGCCTTAGACATTAGGTCTATCCTAAAAAGTTTGAACTTTTTTGGGCCCGGTTGTTGAAGAAAAGAGTACCCCCCTAAACCCTAAGCCCTAAACCCTAAACCCCCGAGCCAAACCCCAAATCCCTCCGAGCCGTGGCCCCGAAACCAAGTCTTTTTTTAGGCATTTTAGGGTTCAGGGGATTTAGGGGTTTAGGATTTAGGGGCTTACAGGGCTTATAGGGTTTATAGGGTTTATAGGGTTTAGGGGTTTAGGATTTAGGGGTTTATAGGGTTTATGGGGTTTAGGGGTTCAGGGGTTTAGGCTTTAGGGTTTACGGTTTAGGGTTCAGGACCGTGGCAACCAGCAAGGTCTTGCGATGGTAGGGCTAAAATCAGGGAGGGAGCATGCCTCAGATTCTGTAAGGTAAAGCTGCCGCATGGTTCTATTTGGCCATACCAAGGCCTCTGATTCTGCAGGGGTATCTAGCACGGGAATTTGAATGAATCCGGGTTTTCGGCTTCCAAATCCGAGAGTTCGCAACTGGAACTTACTCTGGGCTGGTATTCGCTGGGCTGAGCCATGGACTATAAATACTGTACCGGGCCAGCCTAAAGCCTAAACCCATCAATGAATTGCACAGTTAGATTTAGTCATAGCACACCGGGGGTGATCTTTAAAACCGTATTGAAGTCAAGGACACACCATTGGCCGTTGGGAAGGAACTTTCGTCAGGTGCCTCGCCAGAAACGGCATTAAGCATGTGCTGATTTCGAACATATGTATTCTTAACAGCTATCGCATCGTCGAAACAAGGAGTGCACATTTAATACAGGTAAGAGCTCCCCTATAAGAGACACACTAGTCTCAGCAGCCTGCGCCCTTAAAGAAGGATGCTAATCAGGGTGCCTACCGGAACCCATAAAAAATAAAAACTACCTGGCTAAGGATTTCCCACTAGGCCTTCCCTATTGAACCTTAAGCCACAGCCCTCGGTCTTAGCTGCTAAGAGAACACTTCAGGCTCATGGGACCTATTGACTAGGGTTACAATTGGGGTTATATGTCCCACTTTAAGTAGGTTCTTAACTATCACCCTAAGCCCTCAACCCTTAAAAA